CCAACCATGGCCAGTTTCAAGTGCTGAAATTTTGCCGCTTTGGGATGCTGAAGTGCAGTGGCTAGTATGGCTGGTATAAACCAGCATGTCCTTTCGGGTTTCAGTTTTAGGTGTGTTCAACCATTAGAAAAGGGATCTCATCAGTGACTTCACCAATCATTCCGTAGCCTCTTGGCTCGGGCGTGGTGGTTCTGTGGCATCCTTTTGTGCGATGGAGCAAGGCACGCCGGCACTGGAGGAAGGAGCAAAAACCGCTGATGTACCCCGCGGTGAAGAAGCAAGTCTGAGAGTGGCCATGGTACCCCACAGTGACTGCCTCAACAGTTTGTCCACCTTTGTCTCATTTAGGGTGAAACTGTGAATCGATCATTCCACTATGAACCTACTGAAAGTATGGATTTGACTTTGAATTATTTTGAATTGGCATACGAGCTTGCAGTATGTATCATGTGGTTCTAGCTGATATAGCGCATCATTGCCGTGCAATTTTCAAGTAGCCCGCGCAGAAGCTTTATAGAAACCCGCACTTCCACGATGAATCAACACCCCAGATTTGATCAAATTTGATGGTTGAGAAAGTGATTGTCCCTATTAAACTGGCCATAACTTGGGGTTAAGTTAAGCCCCTCATTTCTGGACAAACCTATGTACATCCCCATATTGTTGCGCGAATCTCGTATGGCATATCCCCATATCGTTTACCCTCCGGTAAACTATCATAGATGTGGAAAACCCATGTGTAGATCATGTTCGGAATCCTAGGAGGTTTCTTCCATATTTTTCTGTTTGTTTCGGGTTTCTAGCCTTCATGAAATCCCAACAAAATCCTTTGAAATCACTGAAATCATCTGAGGTGAAACTGAGGACAGCTGCGGATCTCTGGCGCGACGCCATTGGGTCAAGGCTTGGCTATGTCACTCGGAAGAACGATGTTTTTTTTGGGGAATTACAGACTAATGTGGAAACAATAATAAACCACCCATGGGAATGGTTTTTATATTTATATCACCCATTTATGGCGGTTTGGGGGATGGTTCATTATTTTTTTTCCCACATTATTTACAGTTATCTGGCCCCACAAAGAGTTATGAGGGGGATCATAGCTCCTGTCTAAGGCTTCAAAAAATCACTTCTCTAGAATAATGTTGTTTGGCCAGTTACAAGTGTTGAGGACTATAACTTTAGGGAACCCCTCTGGCAGACTAACATAGGCGATGGAAAATCTACATTTTTTGACGGATATATTATCTATATATAAGATTCTGTAAGTTACTAGGCATGGATCTCTTTACATAACCATGTTAGTTTATTGGAAGGTTCGTCCACTTGCAACTTGGTTCAGAATATGCAGCCACTTCCTGACTGGGGTGAACCACCAAGGATGGAAACATATAATCCCTGGCCCTCAAAAAATATGTTTTAGTATGGGATCTATTGATGTTGGGGCCCTTTATTGGGGGCAATCTAGATTTAGGGGAAAGGGATTCCGCTCGGAAAATCAGATGAAGGAGCTACATTCAAAGGGTCGTCACAGTGATAACATGTGATAAATGAATATAAATGAGATGTAATCAACCAACCTTATCATTTATATCTCACATGTTGCACCATTTGTCATTTACCATTCAATCAACATTATCATCATTCATAACAGGAATGACGAACCACATCTTGCACCATGTGCCATATCCGGCAAGCTGACCTGTCGAGGTTACGTCGGAATCTTGGACGCCTTTCTTTCAGCTCCTTGGTGATTTATCTGCCACGTGGGGCTTTTTCGCCCATAAAATGATGGCAGGGACGGCTAGATCACCATGATCACCCTCACATTTCACCCATGGCTGCGCTGATTCTGAAAGTCTCAGCGAATTTCAACGCTTAGGTGGCGATTTACATGTCCATGATGCCCCAGCAACTTGCAGAAACGAGTCATCAGGGGTGCTGATGGTGTCGGCAAGTGCCTGAAGGTGTGCAAGCTACTGCAGATCCAAGTTTTGACATGCCCAGAAAACCCCAATACCTCATTTTACCCGTGGGTTAATTGTAGAATATCAACGCTGTGGTGGGTAAAATAGGTCATTTTACTTTCAGGAGGATGATGGAGGATGATTTTCTTAATTCTATGCTTGCCCCTTTCAATCAGGCGGTGCAACTGTTTCTCCAGTGGAAGTGGAACTTGGGTAGTTTGATTGAATCAATTTCATTGATCACCAGCACGCGTAAAACATTGCAATGGAAAATCCCAGATTTATAGAGTATTTCCCCACATTTGTGTGGGGTTCTTGTTTTTGATTCTGTATCCCGCCTCCGCCTCCTCCTCCTCCGCCGCCTCCTCCGCAACATCACACACATCTTTGTCACACACCATCTTTGTCACACGCACTTTCACACACATCTTTGTCACACACCTTTGTCAACCACCATCTTTAACACACACAACATTGTCACACACCATTTTTCACACACATCTTTGTCACACACCTTTGTCAACCACCATCTTTAACACACAACTTTGTCACATCTTTCACACACATCTTTGTCACACACCATCTTTCAGACACAACTTTGTCACACACCATCTTTCACAGACAACTCTGTCACTTTCATACACACCATCTTTGCGTGGCAGGCGTGACATCTACCTTCGTTTCACGTGGCAGGCGTGGCACTTGGTGACGTCCACCTTCGTTTTGCGTGGCAGGCATGGCACTTGGTGACATCCACCTTCGTTTTGCGTGGCAGGCGTGGCACTTGGTGAAATCCACCTTCGTTTTGTGTGGCAGGCGTGGCACTTAGGGCACTGGACTGGCTCTGGTGGTGCGCTTGGACTGGATTGGTCGCCGGTGACGCCGCGGCACTTTGCGTGGCAGGCGTGGCACTTGGCGACATCCGCCTTCGTTACACACCATCTTTCACACACAACATTTCACACGCTCTCTTTCACACACAACTTTCAGACACACCATCTTTCACACACAACTTTGTCACACACACCATCTTTCTTTGTCACACAACATCTTTCATATACGACTTTGTCATATACCATTTTTTTCCTTGTCGATCCTCCATCACATCCTTTGTCTTTTCTTCATTCCCCGTCCTCCCCCAACATTTGTGGATCATTATTGGAAGAAGTTGACTTGTGGGGCTATCCGGTCCTTTAATTTTCTATTAAACATGCGTTTACTGGATTTTATCGGGGATTTCACAGCCGGCCATGTTTGATTACCGGGAGGGATTTGGAGAGTCTGACGATGTCTACAATTATTGACTATTAAACCCCTGAGCCGAGCAGTCCTCTGAGGTACGTTTTCTTGCCATACGTCGCTTCAGAGCAGGCAACTGTTGCTGCTGTTTTGGCGCAGGTTGTGGCTTATCCTTTACTGATGACCATTGTTGCGGCGACTTGGAGCTGACAGCTGATTGGTGAACTACCGTGTTGATCCCCGTGGCAATTTCCACTCTAGAACTGGTGAACCTGTGCATAATTTAGACGATTTTTTTAGTGCATTGGAATTTTAAAATTGATGTCAGGCTAGTCATTTTATTGTTGGGGGGTTGGGCTAAGCATTTTATTGTAAAGATTTGTAAAGGTAAATCCTGATGATTTTTAACATGTTAAAATTCATTAAAATTCCATTCTCATTTTATTGCAAAAAAATGTTTGCTTGGAGCATTTTATTGCAGAATGGAACCAATGCTTTTCCAGGATCTTTTTATATCGATTTTATTGGGCATGTCATTTTAGATCAGCGAATTTTAAGGAATTTGAAGGAATTTTAAGGAATATTAAGGAATTTCAAAGGAATTATAAGGAGTATTAAGGAATTTTAACGGAATTATAAGGAAATTTAAGGAATTTAGAGAGTTTTAAGGAACTTTAAGGAATCTTAGAGGAATTTTAAGGATTTTAAAGGAATTTGACGGAATTTGAAGGATTTTCGAGGATTTTTAAGGATCTTTAATGTTTTTAAAATTTAAAGGATATTTAAGGAATTTCAAGGAGTTTTTTGGAATTCTAAGGAATTTAAAGGATTTTTAAGGAATTTTAAGGAATTGTCACGAAAGAATGCCACCGTATTTTGTTGCTATAGAATGCTATTTAAAAATTACTTTACTTCGTGTGATCCCCACCATGACATTTATACATTTTGTTACTGGCAAATCTTCTGGCATTCTATCTGACATATTTTCTGGCATTCGATCTGGCATTCTATCTGGCATATCTTCTGGCATTCTACCTGGCATATCTTCTGGCAGATGTTCTGGCATATCTTCTGGCAGATGTTCTGGCATATCTTCTGGCATTCCATCTGGCATTCTATCTGGCATATCTTCTGGCATCTCTTCTGGCATATTATCTGGCAAATCTTCTGGCATTCCACCTGGCATTCTATCTAGCATATCTTCTGGCATACTATCTGGCAAATCTGCTGGCATTCTATCTGGCAAACATTCTGGCACTTTATCTGGCATATCTTCTGGCATTCTAGCTGTCATTCTATCTGGCATTCTATCTGGCATACCTTCTGGCATTCTATCTGGCAGATCTTCTAACATTCTATCTGGCATATCTTCTGGCACTCTATGTGGCATATCTTTTGACGTGGATACTCGCGGTTGAGGTCCGGCAGGGAACACTGGGCGTGGATGGTCGTGGTTGAGGTCCGGCAGGGAACACTGGGCGTGGATGGTCGTGGTTGAGGTCCGGCAGGGAACACTGGGCGTGGATTGTCGTGGTTGAGGTCCGGCAGGGAACACTGGGCGTGGATGGTCGTGGTTGAGGTCCGGCAGGGAACACTGGGCGGGGATACCCGCGGTTGAGGCCCGGCAGGGAACACTGGCGGTGATGGTCGTGGTTGAGGTCCGGCAGGGAACACTGGGCGTGGATGGTCGTGGTTGAGGTCCGACAGAGACCACTGTGCGTCGAGGGTCGCGGTTGAGCAGGAGGAGGACGAGGCAGGAGGAGGCGGAGGAGGAGGAGGAGGAGCAGGAGGAGGAGGAGGAGGCAACTGACATAAAATCTAACAACCCTCACCTGGCAGGTGGGGAAAAAACACACACTATATAAATATTTGGGCACCTTCACTCTAAAATACCCCTATCTAAAATGGATTTCCTGACCTCTTTTTAAAGATGCGTTTCTGAGGGTCTTCAAAATTGGATGAAATTGGATGATGTTGGATGTACATTCAAGCATGAATTTGGTGGCAAGGCATTTTATTGCAGAGCCAGTTTTCATTGTTTTTGTGCATTTTAAAGCCTGAGGCCTATGCACAAAAGTTAGACCGCTCTAAAACTCCCGCGCAGCTTCACATAATGAATTGGCACCCCGATCCGTGTTGATGATTGGTGTGACGAGCTAATTCGAGTGAACCAGCGGATTGTGATGTCATGTGTGAGTCGTTGAGTTGGCAAATGATCTGGTGTGTGTGCGAACCATCTGAAAAGATGTAAAACTTCTACTGCTGATTTTATTCGATTTTATTCTATTTCATGCAGGGGGGCAGTGAATCTCATTCCATCCACTGCCCAACGAAGACGGTGGTTTGAGAATGTTTGAGATTGTGATATCGGGACTGATCATCCTCCAATTTCCATTTTGTCGTCAATGGCAACCGGCTAAGCCCAGAACCGGCATGTCGATCTTTTGCAGGGTTTCTCGTTTTACTGCACTGTTGTCGCAATCTGTATTTCTCAGCTGTCAATAGAGGGAGAACGACTTGGTTCAGATGGATCAGTTGCTTCTAGCAGTGACTAGACAGGGATTACTTTTCAATCTTTCTCGGATCGTGTCATCAACTCTCTCCTGTCAGGTTAACTGGAGTGTTTTTTGCACGTAAGATGCATTCCACATCAGAATTCGCAATGACTGTTCTGAGCAAGTGTGTGATTCATGCTGGATTCGTCAAGGTGGCATGAACCCTTCGGGGAATGCTTTTCTAAGCAAAATGTGGACGCGTTGAAATGATCTCTGAATTTACACATTTTAACCTGGTAATTCGTCTAAGTAAAGTGGAACAGCTGGCCATGTTTCGATTCTCACCCTGTCGACTGTCGATGTGTTGAACAACTAGCCGCCGTGTGGCTTCATTCCTTTCAGGTTTCACTCTGTCGGTCGATGTGTTAAAACCACTGCCCGCTGTTCCAGGGACTCACCACTTTTGCCAGACGTCAAAGGGTTTGTAGACTGAAGCCGCGACAACATTCTTTTTTGGATTACTGACAGCTGCAACATGAGATTTCCAGGCACAGGACATGCTTGCAGGTATGGTGACTCTTCCTTTTTGGTCGTTGGTGAGGTTCAATTGAGCCACGTTTTTTTCCCAGATGATGGAATTTAGATTGAATTTAGATTGAGGAGGAACTCACATCATTCATGCGTAGGCTATTCTGCTTGGTGCGTAGGTTTCGCGTAGGCATATACGTAGGATAATGTAGGAGAGGCTGCGTAGGCAGTCTCGCGCAGGGCGTAGGCGCTTGTTTAGATGTTCTGGATTCCTAGAACGCCAAAGTTGCAGAAAATTTCCTGCGACTTTTCTAAAACCTGTCACTTTAGGTAAAACCGGGCTTTTTCATGCAACTTTCACCACTACTATGCGGCTTTTGGGTTTCGGATTCCATGCGCGCAGTATATTTATGCGCAAGAAGTGCGCACAATGTTCAAAGGGAAGCAAAACACCGTTTTTCATTTATTTTCACATTTGTTCATGCCTTTTTCACATTTTGTTCGTGCCTTTTTCATTCTTGTTTGTCGCACAGAAACAAAACACGTGAAAACTGTGACGGATGTCTCCAACGTGGAATTGCGTCACTTTTCCTCGACTTGCGACTTTCGGACAAGACATGCGACTTTTGTCAGTCACCCTTTTTTCCCTGCGACTTGGCTTTCTAGGCTGTTTGTTTCTGACCTCACTCTTGTTTTTCTTGGTGGCTTACAATGATTTTAAATGCAAACTGGATTGTACGGTTCATATGTTTAGCTGGAAGAAAGGGGAGATTAAAGAAACAACCGCTTTTTCAGAAAATTACAAGTGCCAAGTTTTCGAACAGCCATTTTCGGTTCGGATTTTTGCGTAGGCTCCGCGTAGGCCCTCGCGTAGGAAACGCGGAGGCCCTAGGTCAAATTGTGGCCCGTAGCCCATCAAAGTCTTACCGTTTCACTTTTCTAATGTTTCCATGAGTTCATCATGACTGCCGATCACATCATGACACAGTGCTCCACTCTTGATGAGGCTTCCGCCTTCCTTTCACAAGTCACCCAAAGAATCGTCATCTTCCAATTCTTTCTATTCCTCTTCTGAACCAGAATTGTGATCACATCACGTCAAGTAAAGAGATCGTTGCAGCAACTTCGCGGAGGCAACCGCGTAGGCACTTCTTGAAAGGTAACCCTCGCGTAGGCAGTTTTGCTTGGGAGGAGTGGATGCGTAGGCCCCGCGTAGGTGTCCTAATTTGTGTATTGCAGTCTAGCAAGGAAAAAAACACAACTCAATTGTGCACGTAATTAGCCGTCTATGGGGTTGAAATGAAAACCGAGGGCCTCGAGCCTTATCACGACTCTTGCATGATTTGTGGATGCATCCTTTTGTAACATATTTTTAACTAGTTCCCCATGGGTCCCCTATTTCATGTGTTCTCGCGTTCTCCTCCCTCCAGGTAGGTTTGGTCCTTTGCGTGCTGAGGTTGGTGTAGGTTTTCGCCGTGTTAGGTTGGTTCAGGTGCTTCTGTCTTCCCCCTCCTCCGCTGGTCTTGTTCCGTTGTCCGTCGGCCTCCGCTTTTCTTTTCCCTGCCTTTTCAGGGTTTGCCCGTTCCGGGCCAGGTGTGTTGTATTGGTGTTCTCTCTTTCCCTCTTCTTTTGCGTTCCCCTTTTCGCGTCCTGGTTAAGTAACTTTCATCTCATTTTCATCTTCACCTCATCTTCATTCCCTTTCTTCTTCATTTTCATTTCATGGTCCGGGGCCTTAATTTTTCCACCCTCCTGCGGGAGGGTGTGTGTGTGTGAACCATCTGAAAAGATGTAAAACTTCTACTGCTGATTTTATTCGATTTTATTCTATTTCATGCAGGGGGGCAGTGAATCTCATTCCATCCACTGCCCAACGAAGACGGTGGTTTGAGAATGTTTGAGATTGTGATATCGGGACTGATCATCCTCCAATTTCCATTTTGTCGTCAATGGCAACCGGCTAAGCCCAGAACCGGCATGTCGATCTTTTGCAGGGTTTCTCGTTTTACTGCACTGTTGTCGCAATCTGTATTTCTCAGCTGTCAATAGAGGGAGAACGACTTGGTTCAGATGGATCAGTTGCTTCTAGCAGTGACTAGACAGGGATTACTTTTCAATCTTTCTCGGATCGTGTCATCAACTCTCTCCTGTCAGGTTAACTGGAGTGTTTTTTGCACGTAAGATGCATTCCACATCAGAATTCGCAATGACTGTTCTGAGCAAGTGTGTGTGATTACTTTGTTTTCCATCCAAGCCTCTTTCGATCATTGATATCACACCGAAAATCACCGAAAGATGCCAACGGCTGTGAGAAACTGGTGGTGTTGCTCTACTTCGGTCATCTTTGGTCCCAGAATTGAACTGACTGCTTCTTGTGCCGAAAACCGGCAAAATGAAGGATAAGATTGTTCAAAAACATATCTTGCTTCAGTTGTTCCTGCAGTTTCTATTGATATGGGAAAAAATGGCTGGTTTTGCCCCAAAAGACAACCTGATTTCCAGCGATTTCCAAGGGAAAAGCGCAGATCCTTCTGTCACTGGTGGCCGAAGTCGCAGAACATAAGGATGAGCACCTTGGAGTACCGTCAAATACTGTGGTTTTATTACCAGATGTGATGGATTGGAACATATGGGAACATATGGATATGGGAAACTTGGGGTGTAACGATGTAACCATCAAATGCTTGGGATTCAACCACTCAAACTGGATTTTTGGGGTGGTTTTTGCTGCGCATCTGGAAGCATTCCATCTCGCCCCCGGCATGGCTCAGACAGAGAGTTACAGTCATCCGATCCTCCCAATATCAATCCGCCTAAAAAAATAGTCCCAAGTATATAAACCATGGTTTCTGGGTGGTGTTTGATATTGGGGAAAGGAATTACCTTATTTTGTGCGTCCATTTGTGCCCCATTTTCGAGATAGACAGGAGGTTCCTGTAGAATGTTGCTGAAATCACTGCCGGGATACCACTTTCTGCAAGGGTGGGTTCGGTGAAGCTGTTTCGTTCGGCAAAATTGTTGCGGGTCAGCGCGCTTTGTAGATTTGGAGCTGAATGCAACCAGACTGGCTGGTTAAATTTTCCAATAAACAGACATCAAAGAAAGCAGAGAAGGGCGTCGTTGGTGTCATTGAAATGTATTTGATCCCTGGGATCTCCATCGGAGGTTGTTGGGGAAGCAGGCGAATCAATAGTCCCCACTGACACTTGACACTTATGGCATTCTACTCATGGCTCAGGGGATGGTGTATCCCCGTTCGAAGCTTCTCGAAAGAAATTTTCAGCATGGCCTGCATTTGGGCAATGGCCCAGGGATCACATCCTTGAGATGTGCACTCATTTGCTGATGGTGGTCTTCAATTTCAGTGAAGAGCGCAGACAGAAGGCAGCAAGATGGGGGCTTTGGCATCGGCGAGGATGCTGAATGATGTCTCTGTGATGAAGGGTCAGCTGACAGCCTTTCCAAAAAGTTGAGCGCCAGCTTAGTATACAGAACCAGCCACTCAAAGTGTGCTAAGTGGTTGTAGCATCTTCAAGTGAATGTCAAATGCTGCCATTGCCAAGGGTCAAAATGGGTCAACAGTATCAACTCAGCTGTCTCCAACAGCCGCAGGTGGAAACAGCATTGAAAATCAGCCCCTTGCCGCGGAAATGAACGTTTTTTTTGTGGACATGGCCAGAGCGCGAAGACCCATAGGACATCAAAATGCCCATGCCACCATGCCCTTTCTAAAGCAATTGAAGTCTGAAAGGTGCCAAGATCATCCAAGATCCACAAATCTCATCCGATAGGGCGAGTGAACCTTTGTTGGGTGAATACCAGAAGCTGACTGCTCTGTTCGAATTCCAAACACCTCAGAAAATGTCAGAAAGACTCAGGCTTTTGTGCCAACTTCTTTATTGGGATTGCAATTGGCAACTTGGCAGCTTGGAATATGATTCCCTTCAACAGACAATGAGTGCCGCAGATGCTTAGGATGGAAGCTGCAAGGTTTGAACCTTTGAATGCGCACGCACACATATATATTTATACATACGCACGCATATATATATATATACATTTATATATAAGTAAGTATGCATATACATACTTATATATAAGTAAGTATAAGTACACACACACATATATGTATGTATGTATGTATGTATGTATGTATGTATGTATGTATGTATGTATATATATATACACATAGTATATATACCTGGAGAACCAAAGCCCTAAGAATTCCTCGGGTGCACACAAGAACCTGAGGTATGCCGGAAAAAATAAGAAACCCTCGGTTTTTGATTGAAGACCTCGGGTCTTGATTTTGAACCCGTAGCTAACCCGTACCTAACCCGTACCTAACCCGTACTTTAGGGGTACTTAACCCGTACTTAACCCATACTTAACCCATACTTAACCCGTACTAACCCGTACCTAACCCGTACCTAACCCATACCTAACCCGTACCTAACCCGTACTTCCAGAATGATAAAAAAAATACCTCGAGTTTTGTCGGAAAAGCTCGGGTATTTTTCAAACCCTAAGATTTCTGCGGGTTTTGGTTCTCAAGGTATACTATACGTATAAGATCATATAAGTATATAATAGTATATTAATTATATGGTAACCCCCTTCCTATGACCCCATCGTTTGTTTCATCCTTTCATTCAGTCAATATGGGACAATATTCCTTTCATTTAGTAACCAGGGGCAATGTCCTTGTCATATAGTAAGTAGGGACAATACCCCTTTCATTCACTTGGTCATTGTGGAGGGCCGCATGGCAAAAAAATTGGAAAAACCTACACAAACAATCTTTTGAGACTCCCTGGGAGGGCCCCATAGAGAAAAACAAAAACCAAAATTACTTCCTTCGAGTGATCCCCACCTCCATCCTTACACACTATTCTGACATCTGACGTAACATTTAGAAGTATTTATGGCATGTATATGCTGACATTTTATCTGACACTCTTTCTGGCATATACTCTGACATTCTACTGGCATTCTTTCTGGCAGCTATTCTGACATTCTTTCTGGCATGGCATGGTATCTGACATATGTTCTGCCATTCTGTTTGTTCGGGTCCAGGCACACTCCACAGCCTCCGGGCTTGATCTTCGGAAGATGATCAAGGATGAGATGCTTCCGAAGTGGGAAGTCTCCCCACTCCACACTTTCCACACTTTCCACACTTTCCACACTTTCCACACTTTCCACACTTTCCACTCCTGAATTGTACGTCTGACACCCCACTCCACATTCTACACTTCACATTTCACTCTCCACACTCTACCCCCCCAGTCCCAACAGACTGCAATGGATGGCACGGTAGCAGGGAAAAAATACAAAACTGTTTCAACTGATGTGCATTGGGGCTTGTGGATTGGATCAGGTTTTTCATGGCTTTTTCACAAGGTCTTTAGCAAGAAGCAGATGTGTGTTGATCACGAGGCGTGAGACTGGAACTGGGTGGAAATAACTTTGGAATCATCTCCGGCATCCTCATGGTGTGCTACTTGGCTAAGCCAAAGGAAGTGATGGTGGCAAAAAAATGTAGCACTGTCAAGCATTCGGGATTGCAAGGGCTTTGGGCAATTGAACATGTGTTCAGGGCCGAGGGAGGCCGCTGCATTTTGGTTGATTTTTAGTGATGATCTGGTGACAGCGAAGGTGTGGTGCCACTTTTCGCATCTAACGGGCAATTCTTAGAGGCATTGCCAACGGATCCCACGATGAGCTGGGAGAAACAGAGCCTACGTGACCTGTTTCCTCGAACAGCTAGCCATAGTTGATTGAGAGCATTTAAAAGTCGGATGGTATATACTTCCCCAATAGTGATCATATGCTACTGAAACGGTACCCCCCAATTAAACAGCCCAGGCGTTCATTAACTTGTTTATTTGAAGTGGAAACTGCACAATGCATTTTATAACAATCGGCTGAAGCCGCAGCAGAACAAGATAGAACAAGACAGTCTGTAACAGCATGGGGCTGGAAAAGTCGGCAGGCTTCGACATTTGTTGCTTGTAGGTGGGTTTGTTTCAGTTGAGGCCTTACGGCGACAACCATATTTGCATACTGCCACTATGTGGCGATGATCGTGCAAATTGTCCGGAACCAGTACCTATACCAGGACCGTGCTACCCGTTGGACATCGATATATCAAACAATCCTGCAGGGTTGCTTCCACCTATTGCAAGTAAATGATAGGCCAGACATGGCCAGACGGTTTTTCTTCTCCGGAGTTTTCGATACTCATTGTAATTATAAATCCATTTTCCTGATGTCCCAATGAAATCCATCATATGAATCCCAATTTTGGGGACATACGTAAGAGACTTGCCAGAAGTATACAGTGTGTCCAACCAGCTGGTGGAATCGCTGTAATACCCGAACAGCTGAGTCTCATCGAAGATTCCATAATCACTGTTTCCACAGCAGAAAAGATGATGTACAGTACAGTATATGCATACCTGTATCTTCCAAAGGGCCTGAATTTCAGCCTGACCTCAAATATCAGCCTGCGGCGGAAACTGAAAACTCAGGCGGAAAGTGACTTTATCCATATTTTGAGGTATTCTGATAAGATCCTGGTGGACGATCCAGGTGAAAAGAAATGCTCTGTGGGTGATGTTCGCCGTTTTTTTATTCTGGTTTTTAATTTTTATATTTTTTTTTCGGGCGGAAACACTCACGAAACGGGCGAAAACACCCACGAAACAGGCGAAAACACCCGAAACGAGATTTTCATGTAAAACAGTAAACTTCTTTAACACTGTTATCAACAATATATCAATAATATATAGTGTGAGCGGGCATCTTAACCAAACATCATCAAAATCACTAAAAAACACAATCGGGCAGAACAAGAACACCCCAGGCGAAAAGAATCCATTCGGGCTGAAATTTCAGCCTGAACAGCTTCGGGCTGAAAAAGCGGCCTGCGGAAGGCCTAGGTATGTGTAATATTATGAACACTAGTCACTAGTCACTAGTATATAATACAAGTAGTACCCGGGCAAGCCGGGGGCGGAAGTTTCAAATTTGAAACGCTTATAGCCTGTAGAGCGGAGCAAAGGCTGTGCCTATAGGTGACAGGCAAGCCTCCTGTGCTTCGTGGCAGCAGGCTCTTGGCTTGTCAATCTGATGGCATGTCTTTCGAATGTTGAATTGTTTCTCATTTCATCTGATCTCATCGCATCGCAGCTTCTCTTGGAAATTGCTCACTTCATCCCACTGTCACCGCAGTCTGTGTCATCCTATCTCATCTCAACTCATCTCATGTCTTCTGAGTTTTTCACCTCATCTCAGCTCTTCGCAGCTCATGTCATCTTATCTCAGCTTATTTGAAGTTCATTTTCTTCGAAATCAACTTGCTCACTTTTGGTATTTCATGGTTGTTCATCTCATGTCAAAACATCTGATCTATCATCAGTTTTTCTTACACTTGCCATTCAATCTCTTTCCCAAACCCAACAAGGCACCGCAGCAGCTTTTTCCGTGCAGACGACACGAAAAGTTCAGAGTAGTTGTTAGCGCGGTCTCTGATCCGTGCGCGCGTTGGGATACACACAGCAAGCCTTCACGCAGAGAAGCTCCTACACAGAAAGGCTTTTACACAGCGAAGCTTTTACACACAGCAAGCTTTCACACAGAGAATCCCTTACACACAGAAGCCTTTACACACTGCAAACTTTTAGACACGGCCAGCTTTTACACAGAGAAACTCTTACACAAAGTTAGGGAAGCTTTTATTCACAGAAAGCTTTTATTCACAGAAAGCTTTTACACAGAGCAAACTTTTACACAGAGAAGCCCTTACACAGAGAAGCACTTACACACAGAAGCTTTTACACAGAGAAGCTTTTACACACAGCAAACTTTTACACACAGAAGCTTTACATACAGCCAGCCTTCACAGACAGAAGCTTTTACGCAGAGAAGCCCTTTCACGGAGAAGCATTTACACAGAGAAGATTTTGCACACAGCATGCTTTTAAACTGAGAAAATCTGCTAACAATACTATCGCAGCCTTGATGCAGCCACTCCAATGTGACTTATACGATGTCCAGCTGCAAAAGACAATGGTATTACGCACGCAGCCGCGGCGCCAAGCAACCTCGAAGCAGCCATTACAATGCAATTTGCAGAGACTGAGTCGCAAAGCACAATAGAGCTACGCGCACCGGCGTCAGAAATTGCAGCTCCAAAACCGGATCTCGACACCAAAGCAAGAACAAACGATTTCGAAGCACTTGTGAAAAGGAATTTTTAAAGGAAAATCACCAGCGCCAAAATTGGTAAAATTCTGCTGACAAATCACTATCGCAGCCTTGATGCGGCCACTCCAATACAACTTACGATGTCCAGCTGCAAAAGATAATGGTATTACGCACGCATCCGCGGCGCCAAGCAACCTCGACGCAGCCATTACAATGCAATTTGCAGAGACTGAGTTGCAAAGCACAATGGAGCTACGCGCAACAGCGTCAGAAATTGCAGCTCCAAAACCTGATGGATCTCGACGCCAAAGCAAAAAAAAATGAAGCACTTGTGAAAAGGAAATTTTAAAGGAAAACCACTAGCACCAAAATTGAAAAAATCTGCTGACAACTCACTATCGCAGCCTTGATGCAGCCACTCCAATATGACTTATACGATGTCCAGCTGCAAAAGACAATGGTATTACGCACGCAGCCGCGGCGCCAAGCAACCTCGACGCAGCCATTACAATGCGATTTGCAGAGGTTGAGTTGCAAAACTCGAAAGAAGTACGCGCAACGGCGTCAGAAATTGCAGCTCCAAAACGCATTTCCTGCGAGACTTCCCTCAAAAAGTGAAAGTGGAAGATGTGAAAACAAAGCTTTGGTGCGAGACTTTCCTCAAAATCTGAAATTTGAAGATGTGCAAACGAAGCTTTCGTGCGAGATTTCTGTCAAAATCTGAAAGTCGAAGATGTGAAAACGAAGCTTTCGTGCGAGATGTCCTTCAAATTTTGAAACTTCAAGTTGTGCAAATGAAGCCTAAATGGGCAGTTCCACTGCGCGGCCGATCCGAGCATGATCCCAGTTGAAACGAACGTGTTCCACACCCGCCTGCCGGACAAGCTTCTCCATCCATCTTCCGGGACACGTTTTGTCCCGCAAAACAGCATTTGGTGCATCCGCTAACTTTCAAGAACGCATGTCGTGCGAGATTTCCCTCAAAAAGTGAAAGTGGAAGATGTGAAAACGAAGCTTTCCTGCGAGACTTCCTTCAAATTCCGACAGTTGAAGATGTGATCATGAAGCTTTCTGCGAGACTTCCCTCAAAAAGCGCAAGTGGAAGATGTGAAAACCAAGCTTTGGCGCGAGACTTCCCTCAAAAAATGAACATGGAAAGCCGTAGTTGCCTATTGTTTCAGGCTACTTTCGCCTAGTAGCCCATTTTTGTGGTTCTCACACACACAAAAAAAGCCATAAAAAGGCACTTCATCTTTTGCTGCAAAAGGATTGCAAAAGTGCCATAAATACCCGTTGATATTCCTACTCCTAAAATGGTACGCTTTCCAGTGGCCAATTTTTTGGACACTTTGGAAAGTCAAGTGCCCAAAACAATGGGCACTAGGCTTTCCAGGAAAGTGGAAGATGTGAAAACGAAGCTTTCGTGCGAGACATTCCTCCAAGATCTGAAAGTGGAAGATGCGAAAACGAAGCTTTCGTGCGAGACGTTCTTTCAAAATCTGAAAGTGGAAGATGCGAAAACGATGCTTTCGTGCGAGATTTCCCTCAAAATCTGAAAATCGAACATGTAAAAACGAAGCTTTCGTGCGAGATGTCCTTCAAATTTTGAAACTTCAAGTCGTGCAAATGAAGCCTAAATTGGCAGTTCCACTGCGCGGCCGATCCGAGCATGATCCCAGTTGAAACGAACGTGTTCCACACCCGCCTGCCGGACAAGCTTCTCCATCCATCTTCCGGGACACGTTTTGTCCCGCAAAACACAGCATTTGGTGCATCCGCTAACTTTCAAAAACGCATGTCGTGCGAGACTTCCTCAAAATCTGAAAGTTGAAGATGCGCAAACGAAGCTTTCGTGCGAGACGTCCTTCAAAAAGTGAAATTGGAAGATGTGAAAACGAAGCTTTCGTGCGAGATTTCCCTCAAAAAGTGAATGCGGCAAACGTGAAAATGAAGCTTTCGTGCGAGACCTCCTTCAAAGTCTGGAAGTTCAAGTTATGAAAATTAAGCCTGTCGCTTGGACATCCCTTTGCTCTGACATCCCTTTGCTTCGACATCCTTTGCTTTGACCTCCCTTTGCTTTGACCTCCCTTTGCTTTGACATCCCTTTGCTTTGACATCCCTTTGCTTCGACATCCCTTTGCTTTGACCTCCCTTTGCTTTCACCGCCCTTTGCTTTGACATCCCTTTGCTTTGACATCTCTTTGCTCTGGCATTCCTTTGCTTTGACATCCCTTTGCTGTGTCATCCCTGTTCTGTGACATCCATTGCTCTGTGACACTCTGTGCCATCTGACAGCCGTTGCTCTGTGACACCCACTGTTCTGTGGCATCCATGCTCTGTGACATCCATTGCTCTGTGACATCTTGCTCCGTGACATCCATTGCTCTGTGACATCTTGCTCTGTGACATCCATTGCTCTGTGACATCCATTGCTCTGTGACAGCCGTTGCTCTGTGACATCCATTGCTCTGTGACATCCATTGCTCTGTGACAGCCGTTGCTCTGTGACATCCATTGCTCTGTGACATCCATGCTCCGTGACAGCCGTTGCTCTGTGACATCCACTGTTCTGTGGCATCCACTGCTCTTGTGACATCCATTGCTCTTGTGACATCCATTGCTTTTTGAGATCCATTGCTCTGTGACACCCATTGCTTTGTGACATCCATTGCTTTGTGACATCCATTGCTTTGTGGCATTCATTGCTCTGTGACACCCACTGTTCTGTGACAGCCATTGCACATCCATTGCCATCCGCAACGCGGAAGTTAGACCTTCAAACTTCCTTTGACTTTGATAGTGGTGATATTGTGATGGTGGTCATGTTGTGATAGTGGTGATATTGTGATAGTGGTGATGTTGTGACAGACAGACAGGTGATAATGGTGATATTGTGATAGGGTGATTTTTTGATAGTGGTGATGTTGTGATAATGGTGATGTTGTGATAGTGGTAGTTGTGACTTGTAAAATTCCGTTACACGGAAATTAGACCATCGAACTTCCTTTGATAATAACTTTAGTTGTAAATTAAATGCACACATGTTCTGTATATATTACCTAGTTTTAGTGTGTATATGTATATTTATGTATACAAATAGTCTAGTGGATTCATGAGATGGCAACCGCACTGACCGCTAGCCATAAACGCCATGTGCATAGAGACATTTCAATCTATGTTCATGGCCTGATGTCCGGGCCGGCCCAGGAGATTCCAGAAGAGGAACAAGATGAGAGACTTATGAAATATGAGATCACTCGCCCTCTCCCCAGGCAGATGGTGGAACTGGCCAACGGACGTCAGCATAGATGATGCTTAGGATTGGGGAATTATCCCGATTTTAAGGAGAACCGTTTTCAGGTCATTGAATTATTAGTATAGTGCATCCAAAATGATGATCATGCAGGTTGCCGGATGTGCGGATTGGTTAAACAATCATGTTTCGATACATTTTATTTTGGGGAGATGTCCAGCATCATCCATGACCACCATGCTATCACCCATGTTGATGTGAACACAAGAGTCCCACAAATACTACGCAGCAAGATGATGCCTCCCATGAATCCATGAAACCATGAAACCATGCCGTTTGTGGACACAATACTGCCCCAGGCGTAATATGTGGATGGGATCTGAATATATGGTGGCTGCTTTCATTGGCCAAGTCATCCTGGGCCTTTTAGCAACCAGGCGGCCAGTTTTTTCGAGCGGAGTTGTGCCAGCGATCACTGGTGTTTGCACCCCCTTTTTTTGGATCCCCACGGAACTAATAGCTACTAGATGCTTGATGCTACCAATTTCCTTGCCTATATTTTATAATTGATACTTAATTTTCATTGAATCATTCCAGCCACTTCAGGTAATCTTGAGAATCATTTCCGCGACGTTTCTGATACTTGTCTTGACAAACTATTTTCTGGTTTGCTTTAGATGGTAGTGAAGGACGCAGCGAAACAGTTTGTTTATTTTGATCCAGCATTCCATGGCAATCGTTCTTGACACCAAGTGTCGCATGTCTTGCCATTCTCCGGTCATGTGGAAATGACGTCCCAGCCCCAGCTTCCAAAACCCATCCCACCAGTCAGCGAACCGATCAAAGGATACTGTCGACGGCGATGGGCACCATGTTCTATGCCTTTGCATTTACACACTTCTTTCCTTCCATGGTGAGAAAACGCTGTTTTTTCTGCCCGTGCACATCCTGCTTTTGGATGGTGATTGGGCCACTTGGTTTCAGCAATCAAGGCCAAGTGGGCCATGGAGATGTTTCAGATGAGTTTTTCCTGTAATGTAGTACCATTGGTTGTTTTATTACAGGGGGTCCATACGGGGATACCTGTGAACCAAGTAGAACAATGGGATGGGATAAAGGTATTTTTCATGGCTCAGAAGTGTATGCTTCTATATGGTGTTAATCGTGACTGACGCATTTTCCTAGAAGATACCCTGTAGATCCCTGTAGAATCAGAAGGTATAGGGCTCCTATGGGTTCCTGTCCTGTTGCAGCTCTTGTCAGGATGGTTGTAACCCTTTGCATTATTTTTGGTGGCTTAGCTGCAGATCTGCGGGGGTGAAATGATGCTGGGCCAGGCACCATGCCTGGCCATGCCCCCAAGTCACGCCGAATTCCAAGCGGCTGTGAAGTGCAACTGCAAGAAAAAGATGCGGAAGAAGATTTTGTCATACTTGATCATGCTTGAGATATCTTGAGATTTTTCAGATGGACCTATTATATAACCGGTTCATCCATGGTTCATCCATTCCAGGCCGATCGAGTGACTGGCTTGAAATGGCTTGACCGGCTTTTCACGGCTAGATGTTGAGATCCTGCAGGATGTTGAGATCCTGCAATCGACAGACCCAAGGTTTGATTCCTCAGACCCAAGGGCTGTTTCCGGAAGCTGGGCTTAAAGAGAAAATTTAAGGTGACGCAGCACGCTCCAATGACCAACATTGTTGATGCTTTGGGATTCCACCTGTCTACCACTATCTACCACTCTTCAAACATGTTCCGATGCTCCTTAGCTGAAGAACAGAGAGACAGAGGAAACATGCATGTTTCATTCTTCACCAATAGACTTGATGCCCAAATAGTTCATTAAACACAGATCATGGGAACCAGGCCCCCAAAGAGGCCCCAAAGGGCCCTGGTGAAGGGCGGATCGTAACCACCGCCCACGGGTCCCAGGAGAAGCACTTGGTGCGGCCCATCTTCCAGCCTGGCCAGGCGTTTAACGACACCTATGTTGTTCCCGGGCAGCTTGCAGGCGCGCTCGCGAGTGGGCTGGTCGGTTATAGACTAGGGTTGAATGGGGTTAACGGTTTTAGTCACCGACCTGGTTATTGGATGTTATTGGGGATTATGATGTTCAACCCACAAATGAATAGGATACCTTTGAACCAACCAGTCGATTTTTCATCGGACATCCACTTGCCCAGCGACACTTGCTTTGAGTAAAGGCCCCAAGATCCAGGACTCGGAGACGCTGGATGAGATGATGACCTATGATGCCCCACCTTTCAGGGCAAGGGAAAGTGTAGTGAATCCGGATCTAGCGTTTGCATCTGGCGAAACTCCACGTGTTTTGCCCAATGGTTGCATACGAACTTGTACCGCCACCGCCGCCGCCAATGAGATATTGCTATACCTCCAATGCTCTCTTGGGATGAGTACAACCTGCTGCAAATTGCGGCGGTCCCTATCAAGCGAGCAGTGGAACCAGTCCACAATTACTTCTGTTGTTCTGTTTTGTTTTCCTTTGGAACCTTGTATAAATGGGCAAGCTTGATGCGGTGCATGTTGAAGCACGGTGTAGCCAGTGTAGCCGACTGCGAGGCTTGGGAGCATATCCAGTGTGTAACTTGGCTGGAAACTGGCACTTTAAGTTGTAGCTCTAGGGTGGGCATCCATGATTGTCCATGGCTGTTAAAAGCTGTGGTTTCTGGCGTTGAGGATCGTTTTCTATGCAAAACAGTTCCCACGTACATTTTCACGTTTAACAAGTGAGGCCGACCTGAGGCAATGGAATGACGTGGGCGGCGCGCAACTTTAATGGGAACAAATTGCTAGCCCTTGATGCTTGGAAGATCTTGGACGGGTGGGAAAGCATGGGAAAGCAGGCTCATCCTGAGTATGGAAAGGGGCAGCTGTTGTAGTAGTAGCAGCATCGTAGTAGCTGCAATTGACCAGTGACCAGCTAAAAGATGCCAGTAATCCCTTCCCCCTATTACCAACCCCCCCAATAATAAAAACTAGGGTCCGTCTCCAATTTTGGAAAAAAATTGAAGTTGGCCAATTTGACCTTTAAATGATCCCCTTTAGAAACCAATTAAAAAATGAAGGTCCCATTTCAGGGTTTTACCCCCTAATAATAAAAACTAGTCAACCCGGGGGTATTTTTTATTAGGGTCCGTTTGTTGAAATCGATTAAATGTTACTGTAATATTTTTTTAAAAGGTTTTGAATTTAATATTAGGGGAAAGCTTCTGGAGCATTTTTTTTGCAGTATTTTGATTAGAATTTGAAAGGAAAACTAACTGATTTTGAAATCTCATTTTTTGTTTTAGGTTTTAAATTTAATGTTAGGGGAAAGCTTCGAAATGCTTCGAAATACAATTTTTGGCAATATTTTAATTAGATTTTAGAAGGAAATCTAACTGATTTTGAACTCGAAAAGAAAAAATTAGATTAGGGTTTTTGATTGCGAAAGCCAGCCGCTAGGCTAGGCGAAGTTTTTTTTTGCGAACAAAGTAAGTTGAGGGGGTCTGGGGGCAGAGCGGGCAAAAACAGCCAGAAATCACGCTCTCAGTTGCAGTGGAGCGGGGGCATTTGGACGAATTTTGAGGTGTATGTACCACGTGGCAATTGGGTGACGGTGGGGGATCGATCCTCCCCCGGTCCGTCCTCGGAGGTGGAGGTGCATTTGGGGAGGCGATAGAGAATGAATGAGAATGATAGAGAGACTTGAATAGAAGGGGGTTAGATTCGGTTAGATATGATACTGGCATTGAGAGGTTTTTTAAGATGAAAGTCCTCGATCTTATCACTGTTTTTGCGTGCTGAAGCTGCAGCCGATCCCAAGGAGGCAACCTCCGGTGGCAAAGCAAGGGAGATGCAATAGCTTACATCTATACTCCGACGAAAAGCATTGTCTGGGTAACCCAACTACCTTTCTCCATGAGGAAGTCAATGATCAGTATTACGGTTTCTAGCTGGCTTCGTGTGCTGGCTGAAAAGTGACCATTTCGAACTTCTCATTTCACGCCTGAAAGGCAACTGCATGAGCCGACGCAGCACAGCATGCAGTACATCCATACCCAAAAACACATGTTTGGATATGGATACGACAAGTCACTCTACCTTCTTTGCTCGTTTGCTGCAATGTTTGACTTCGATATCTGTTCTACATGTTATTTCCCTTCCATACACCCGTCCTGCTCCTACGCCTTTCAGCTTCGCCCGCTGCAGCGGAAAAAAATCCTTGTTCATGTGTCCCTTGCATCACCTCTTCCATATCTGCTCTGTCTTCCTCCATCCTCCCTCCTCCTCTCATTCTTCTTCGCACTTCCCTGGCTTTCGTTCCTCCCTTCTCAGGTTTATTATTAGGCAAAAGCTTCGCACCCTAATGCTAAATAATTATAATTACCCTATATATATATATATATCTATATCTATATAATAATTATATAATCAAAACTACCTGAGTTGCTTATTATTTGTGGGGGGTTAGTATTAGGGGGAAGGGTTTTTCAGTGAGAGTCGCGGTTAGAGAAAGTCCTGAGTGGTCCTGGCACAGGCCCCCTGGTTCGGGCTGGAGGTTCCAGACAGTTCTGGCTAAAGTCAAGTGGACGATGGGCTCCGTGGGAGATGCAATTATTATATATTGCTGGTTATAGTTGCCATTCATCTGAGATCATGGGCATATCTGTAGCCCTTTTGTGCCGAGGAAAACATAGGCAGCATGCCCCTTGACCGTTGATTTTTGTGGTGTGGGTTATGAGCCCAACCGACCCTGCCATGGATTCAAAGGAGGATTCTGGAAAAACTGGGGCTAGTGGCATGGAACTAGCGCTACCGAAGGACCAACCAAAAGGGCCCCCTGTAACATATGGACCGCAGAGGGGTAGACAGATGGATGGAGGGGAACATACCGCCATCAACCCGTTTTGGTCGGAGAAGGTAAAGGACGATGTGACCATTCGTGCCCTTAGACCCCATGGACTTCCACGAAATGATGCTGGACCGGAAGCTTCGGCGTCTATCAGGACTGGGATGGAAGAAGGGTCGATGAATGCCCCAGAAATCAGGGATCTGTTGACGATGTTCATACAACAGAACAATCAACTGAAGAGGGAATTGGATGAACTCAAGGGCCACTTGCACCAGCAATCGGGTGTGACTCAGCCGAGCAGTGTGAACACAGCTGAGAGTCAAAGGATTCCAGGTGCAGAGAAGGCCATAGAACCGAGGTCTACAAGCATGTTGCAATTGGAGGATGGAAAACCTGATGAATTGAATTCGGAGGTGGTAGGATCAGGGAATGGAGGTGATTGGACCACTCCACCAGGGTCTGTTCCACCGACCACTACAGGACACCAAAAACCACCTGTAGTTGGAACTATGGAAATGAAAAGTAGTCAGGAGACTAGTGGATGGAAACCTGAGGACACCATGCAGCAGCAACCTGCCTTAGGTCAAGTCATGGAGACGATGGCAGTTTTGATGAAACAGCTTGCTGCGGCTCAGGGAAATGGAGCACTTCACAACGGCCCTGGACAACCAGGCGGTGATCGTCAGGGATCTACCCCAGGACAAGGGGATGGAAACGGATCTCATCAAGGAGGATGGCAAGGTCATCTTCCTACCGGATCAGGAGGATATCCGCCATTTGGAGGACATGGGAATGGACAGATGCCAGGTGGAGGGGGTGGAATTCCTCTAGGGCCAACCATTCCAACTTCAGCTGACATGGGATGGACTCAAAGTTTTGGAGAGAGTATCAGAACGGTAGACCTTCCCCAACTTCCGAGTATCAAGGAGGGTGAATTGGGTGGAGCAGTGCTTGGAGATTGGTTGACCCTTGTAGCACCAATCATGAAGGATCTTTCTGTGAGTAGCGGTGCGTGGTGGACTGCAATCGCCAGAGGCGCAAGTGATGCCTACCAACGTTGGCTGAGATCTGACCCTGTCCAACGGCTGCACATTGCCCCTCTTGTCCCGACAGAATGCACTGGGCTTTGGACGAGGCTGGAACAGCGTGGTCAGAGCATGCTGTTGTGCGCTCTTCCGGAAGGACTGAAGAGCGAGGTGCTGGCCAGCAGAAGCACCAACACTGTGGAGATTCTCTATCGGATTTATACCCGATATCAACCAGGAGGACTTGGAGAGAAGGCCCTGCTTCTACGACAGTTGGTCGAAGGGAAGGCACCGTCAACCTTGAGTGAGTTCCTGGAGCAGATCAGAGCTTGGAAGAGGAACCTCAAGCGGGCTCAGGAGCTGAGTGTCACGACACCTGACCCAACGCTGCTGATGAATGCGTTGGACAAGATGAGCCAGGTGGTCATCAGGGCCTCCACTCACACGGCCTTCCGTCTGAACTCTACCCGAGCTCATCTGATGGTCGACATTGACCCTACTTTGACAGCAGTCACAACGTATGCGGACGCAGTCTTGGCAGAAGCAGAGAGCCTCTACCATGCAGGGACTCAGACTACGACGACTGCAAAGGTCAAGGCCATGGATGGACCTAGTGGGGACAGTGCTCCAAAAGGTGATGGAAAAGGGAAAACAACAGAAAAGGGAGGTACCAGGAGTGAGAGGCCTCCCTGTAAGTTCTTTGGGACGGAGGATGGATGCAAGAAGGGGGCTGAGTGCACGTACCTTCATGACTGGACCACGATCGACAAACGTGGCCGATGTTGGAACTGCAGCTCAACCAAACATTCCAAGAAGGAGTGCGCCGTCAAGGCGATGGCTGCCAGCAGTGGATCCATGGAGCCTGGAGGAAAAGGAAAGAAGGGTGGAGGAAAGGGAAAGGAGAACGATGGAGGAAGTGCCAATCCAGCCTTGAAGAAAACGGAAAAGGCTGATGAGGTCACCCAGCAAAGAGCTGAGGAGACCAGCGGTGTAGCTCCGGCCGGTCACCCTGGAGGAGAGGGGGACCCGGGTCGTGGAGGTCCCGCATCAATGGCCGCTCATGCTGAGCTCCTCCAAGAGGCGACCACCCTTCTCAAAACTTTGAGGGGGCCAGCCCTTCGAGCCATCAAGCTCAACAGCCTCGAGGTGGCTGGTGGTGGCAAGACACTGTTGGACGGTGGTGCAACGCACGCACTCCGCACCGCCAAGGACATCAAAGAGTGGGAGTCTGCACTGGAAGTGCGGGTGGAGTTAGCCCAAGGATCAGCGACTCTTCGCCAACTCCCGTGGTCGAAAACTCTCCTTTCACTGTCACCAGTGCAAAGCATAGTGCCACTGGGAATTTTGGCCGAGATTGGGTATGCCATCAGGTGGGAGGGAACGATCTTCGAGCTGACCGACCCCTCGGGATGCATCTTGGACACGGAGCTGGAGGGAGCATGTCCTACAGTGTCTGAAGCTCTGGGTTTGGAGCTCATCAAGGAGGTTGAGCGCTACTTCGTGGAGCGCCGAGCCAGATTGGCAGTGCTGAGAGGAGAAGGGAACATTGGCAGTTTGCCAAAGGACGATGTCAAGCACTTGGAGGAGCTGAGACGTCTGTTTCCGGAAGTCCCTGAAGAGATCTTGGTGCGCATCCTTCCAACCCGATCTTGGAGTATAATGTTGGAATTCCCAATCTTCCATTTTTTCGATCTAGCTCAAAACATGTAGCTGGCTCAATTTCATCAGGGGTATGTTTTGACAGTCACCTTGGGCTTTTTCAGAGGTACCATATCTAGTACTAAAGTAATCAGTGGGGATTGAACCTGGCAATTTAATGCAATTTAACAGATTGGGAAGTTTCTGCGAGCTCGCTCAACTGCAACGAGCTGGCTCAGCACCATCGAGCTCGCTCAATGCCACGTAGCTGGCTCAGGGGCATCGAGCTAGCTCAATGGCA